GCTTCCTCCTGAATCGTGCTGGTTAGAAGAGTGCATGTGCCCATGACTATCATTGGCCTGGACTAGGGATGGAAAAGCATTTTCTGTAAGGGGCACAATAGTAAATGTTTTAGGCTCTGTGGGCCACTTGTGGTTTTTACTGCATTTTTTCTTATTGTGTTCCTCCTCCTTCTCAACCCTGTTAATTAAGTGTAAAAACCCTTCTTAGTTCATGACTTTGAAAAAACAGGCCATGGGCCAGATGTGGGCTATGGTTTGCCAATCCTTGGTTTAGATTACTCACAGTTCATTTTCTGGCACTAGGCACATCGACACCCACCAAAGTTTCTGTGAGCAGGATTAAAAGGAAAGGATTTTTTAAAAAAATAAATAAGGTCTGCTACGAGCAGCAGATAACAAATGCATTTAGCACTGAGTATAAGCCAGAGTTAACAAACATTGTATTAAATTTCCCTAGCAACCACAAGCTGTTAGAGGAGATCCATGAAATACAACTATGGCTGTACTATTGTTTCATCTTGTTGATTGTTTAAAAATAGAGTTTATTTTCTTAGAATTTTAGGCTCACGGCACAACTGAGAGGCAGGTACAAGGATTTCCTATATATGCCCTGCCCCCAAATGTGTGTAACCTCTGCCATTACCAATACCCCCCCACCGGAGTGGTGCACTTGTTACAACTGATGAATCTATGCTGGCATGAGCTGTTTTGATGCCAGCGAATGATTTATTACAATAAAAAATAAATCTCTGTATCACATCTTATGGGTCATCTCAGATTCTCTTGGCTTTTCTTTTCCCAGCTGCTACTGCAATGGTCACTTCGGGCTCCTCTGCCACTCTGGACTCAGGAAAAGGGCCATGGGGCAGCTTGTGGAATCCGTCTTCCCCCTGACTGCTGAAGGGGCCAAGAAATATTCATGGGTGTGACAAGTTAACTCCCCCCGGGGGCAAACTTTCAATGGAGGAAGCTGCCGTGTAATTTTTATCCCCTGTCCTCTTCTCTTGGTCTGACCCAAAGCACGTTTCTGTACAGACTGTCTGGAGACATCCTCAGTGGCCAAAACACTGGCTGTCTCTCTTCATAAAACCCTGGCACGTTACTGATGTACCACTGTGAATGAGCTGCTTGTCTTTGTTGGCTTTACTTCTCTGTTCCTTCACTCCCTCAATCCGTAATAAAGGATCAGCGCTTCAGCTTTGCCTCAGGCTCCTTTTTCTGAAGAACCTGGGCTAAAGCAATTCCTTACTAGAATTTAAGCTCCACGAGGGTAAAGATTTTGGTTTATTTTGCTCACTGTCTAGACTATTGCCTGGAACATAGTAGGTGCTCAAGGTAGATAAGATCTGTGTATATGCATACACATATATATAACATCTGCCATGAGCATCAGAATATGTACACACACACACACAAACACACATATAATTTTTATTGTATTTTGAAAGAATTAATGAAGGCATCGATTCAGGGCATAACCCTTGGAAGAGATGAACACCAAAACAAACCTGTGGGAAGGATAAGAGACCTCTTATCAGCTGATTCCTCCCACAGAGAGCACCCAGGCCTGCAATGGAAAAAACCCAGATGTATTTAACTGTGGTGAAGTGAACAGCTAGTGTGTAGGAAATTATGAGAGAAAGATGCAGAACAAAAAACAGTAGCCAGCATCACTCAGCACCAAGCTGCAGAAGAGCTTCCCATCAAGCCTGATGCACAGCTAATCTGATCTCTTGCACTTCTGGTCTGGTCTGAAATGTAAAGGAAAGGCAAGAAACAGTACTGAAGTCAGGGGTGGGGATGCCCGCTGTGGGCTCTATAGATCTCACAAACAAAATTAGAAGATACAGAGCTCTTGAGGCTTCTCAACATAGCAGAGGAGTGAGTTGAGAAGAAACATCCAGAAAGACTCTCCCAAAGTAGTTTATTATTTTTATATCAGCACCCAAATTTCTTTCTCCTTCCTCCTCAGAGCTCTGACTGCCTTTGTTCATTTCTCACCTTACAGCGTGTTCTGTAGTGACCATGTGGTATATTCAGTAATCCAATATTATCTATTGAGCACATACTATGTGCTAGTCATTGTTTAATACTGGGGTAACAGCAATGACCAAGCAGACAAAAATCCCTGCTCGACAGGGTTGAGACTTTAGGAAAGGAAGATAGTTAATAAAATGCATACATAAAATATATCATATGTTTAATAACAATAAGGAGTTTGGAAAAAATAAACCAGAAAAAAAAAAGACAGAGGAACTAGAAATGGGGTTGATTTTAATTAGGGTATTGTATTAGTTTACTAGGGCTGCCATAACAAAATGCCATTGACTAGATGACTTAAACAATAGTAAAAATGAATTTTCTCGCAGTTTTGGAGGCTGGAAGCCTGACATCATGGTGTCAGCACGGTTGGTTTCTTCTGAGGCCTCCCTCCTTGGCTTCTAGATGCCATCTTCTCTCTGTGCCTTCACGAGGTCTCCCCTCTGTGTGTGTCTATGTCCAATAGAATCTCCTTTCGTTATGAGGACACCAGTAATACTGGATTAAGACTCACTAGATGACTTCATTTTAATTTGATTACCTCTTTGAAAACTCTCTCTCCTAATACAGTCCCATTCTGGGGTCTCGGGTATTAGGAATTCAACATATGAACTTTGTGGGGGGACAACATTCAGCCCATAGCAAGTACCTTGGGAAAGCCTTGCTGAGAAGGTGATGTTTGAGCAAAAACTTGAAAGAGCTGGCCATGTAAATATCTGAGGGAATGCATTTCAGGGAGAGCGAAGAGCAAGTGCAGAGGCACAGGTGTGCTTGGTGAGTTTGAAGAGCAACAAGGAGGTGTTGTGTCTCGAGGAGGTTAACAAGGGGAAGAGTAGTAGAACAGGCCAGAAAGGAAGGAGAATAGGCAAAATCAGGGCCTTAGGCCATTGAAAGAACTTTGGCTTTTTTTTTTCTTTTTATTGTTGTTCAAGTACAGTTGTCTCCATTTTCCCACCACTACTTTCCTCTACCCCACCCACCCCCACCTCCCACCCTCAATCATTCCCCCCTTTGGCTTTGTCCATGGATCCTTTTTTTGCTCTGAGCGTGATGGAAAGTCCTCAAGGGAGAAATCATGTTGTTAGTGGCCTGAAAATGCATTCAGGTTCAAATGCATTGCCTCATCTGAGTAAAGTCTGTTAGGAATTTATACTGATTGCCCCAAGGCCACAGGCTGAAGAAATGGACCAAAAATGTAAGAAATTTATATTTTGACAGAAAAATATATCAATTTCTAAGAGTCTCACTATTTTGATTTCTAAATTCTGTCTCAATTTTTGCTGTCGTTGCTGTGTACCTTCTTTTTGATGCACTTAGAAAATGAGGTAGAACGGCTATTTTTTAAAGTCATGTGCTTTGATAAAACTTTGGAGGATGCTTGGATTTGTGCAGGGTACATCCTTTCTCTCCTGGTTAGCTGTCTTCTTGTGAAGAGCTCTCATCTCATTTCAGAGGCTGTGTCTGTTATCAGCAGAAGTGCTCCTGTGGAAACGAGTTGTGGGCTCTTCCACGAGATCTGCTTACTTCTTGAAAAAGCAGAAAATACTTCCAAGTGTTTGGACCTTTCACTTTATGCTTTCTCCTTACTCCTTTGCCAGCCCTGGCTGCTTTGATTTAGGACTTAGTCTTAGGATCTGGTGCTTGTTATTGACTCTGCCTATTTTTGGTGAATCTCTTACAACCAGATTCCTAGTGCTGATTTGCCTGGGACTATGTTACCTCTGTTCATGCCAGGCTTTGGTGGCTTAGCTCTCCTTCTCAATAATAACCTGGGCTATGTCTACTTCTCATCTTGGGGCTGCAACCCAAAATGAACCACACTTATTGCCATTGAAAGGACTGGGACAGAACTGAGGACGGGACTCCATGGAGCATCTGCCTTCACGGCCCCTAGCACCCAGCACTGCTCTTTGTATTGGAAAATCCTTGATAAAAATTTGCTGATGGAATAAATTTTACAAAAAATGTCATAGTAGTATCTTATGATGTGAAAAGGAAGTGTTTATTCAACAGATATTAGATGTGCTTCTTTAGATGAGGCACCATGGAAGGTACTGAGGAGTCAAAGATAGAAAGGCGGGTCTGTTTCCTCGAGGAATTCCCACTCTCCTGAAAGTCCAGAGTTAGAGGAAATGTCCGTGGGTCCACTTGGCTAGAGATAATAAAGCAGCTTTTGAATTGTGGGCGTTAATCCCAGGTTCAGTTCCAAACAAATCTAGAATATATTAGGGGAGTTACAATTTCTGAGCTGGAAAAATTCTAGAGAAAAGTTGGAAAACCTCTCTTGGGTTTTGGTGCTGGCTGCAGAGTGCTGGCTTCTGGGGGAAGAGAAGGAGCCAGGTGAAGGGTTTGGCAAGGGCTGAACAGAAACATCGGTATGCCATCCTGAGCAGATTTCCCATGGCTGCCCATTCTACTATTCGGTTCAGGTTTTTTCTGGATACTCATTAGCAAAGGAGATTTTCTTTACATACGTGAATTGGAAAAAATTCATATACTTCCTGGAGACCAGGCTTTTTCATTGGTGTGGCATGACTTGAATAATGAAATCTCTGGGGTTGGGGGCAGTGGTGGAGAGAAATGCAGACAACTGTAATTGAACAACAGTAAAGTAATTTTTAAAAATAAAGAAATCTGTCGTGACATGCAACTAAAATTTTGACTGTTGTGGGTTTTTTTTGTTTTGTTTTTTTTTTTGTTGTTGTTGTTTTTGGAAATGAGGCCCCATCCTTACCAGTAAATTTGAGTTTTTACTTAACATCATAGATGGTGTGGTCAACATTTTTTGACTATGAAGCAAGCTCTCAAAAAAAAAATTAGAGAGCAGCCAAAGTGATCTTCCTCTTTTTAGACTGTAAGTTATCTTTCACAGCATCTCATTAAAAAGCCAGCCTTGAGGGTTAAAGTAGGTTATCCTCTCATCTAAATAACACAAGTAACTCTGGCTGCTGTGAGTGACACTGGCCCAGGGTGAGGTGGAGGGAAATGCGGGGGAATTGCATTTTGAAGTCTGGGTTGCTGTTTGTCACTCTGTCTCTTGCTATTGCCAAGCACAAGCAATCTCACTTCGCCAAGAGCTGTTACCCAAGGGGAACCCTGTCGCGGGCTGTTGACATGCTCTATGTCAAGGCGGCGTGGCTCAAGGCAACAATTCCAGTAAGTATTAAGCTCTGCTTGGAAAGATGATCTAAAGGATGTTTGTAATTCTGGATAAAACTTATTTCTCTTTGTTTTATTGTAGGAAGACCACATAAAAAATATACGATTATTAAAAAAGAAATCAAAAAAGCTATTCCTGGTAAGCCAGAGGCTTCCCCACCCCGTCCCTGTTTCTAATTGTTTCATGCTTTTCCCCTTACGTTTAAGTTTTTTGAGGGTCATTAAGTAGTAATCAAGGGGATGTTTCAGTGGCATTTTACAAAAGGTATTCATGGTTTACCTTATACAATTTCTTATGCCTTATTTATAGAAAAACTGCAGATTCCAAGAACAGCTTCTGTCTTTCTTCATGGAAGACGTGTTTGGCCAACTCCAATTACAAGTTTGCAAGGAAATACACTTTGTCGAAGAATTTCATAGCCTCAGGCAGAAATTGAGCCGCTGTGTAAGTATGCACAGCAAATATGGTGAGTTTAATCCTATAAACCGACCTAGAAAACAGCATGCATGAAGCTGTTGCCACACTGAAGGGTGAGTAAAAGAAAGGGCCTTCTAATCGTTGGCTTGTAGTCTACAAGGAGAGACATCACCACCAGGGAAACAGCCTCAAACAGCCATGCAAAACTCAGAATGTCACCATTTATCATTTCTTAAGGAATGGCACATTAAACACATGAAGAGAGCTAAAATAAAGTAAGATGGAATACTACTAAAATTTATTTGTCATCATTCCCTCTTTATAATTCCCAAGTAATTAATTCATTTAATAAATATTTAAGTGCCAACTATGTGCCAAACACTATTCTAAGTCTTTCTTTCTTTCTTTCTTTCTTTCTTTCTTTCTTTCTTTCTTTCTTTCTTTCTTTCTTTCTTTCTTTCTTTCTTTCTTTCTTTCTTTCTTCCTTCCTTCCTTCCTTCCTTCCTTCCTTCCTTCCTTCCTTCCTTCCTTTCTTTCTTTCTTTCTTTCTTTCTTTCTTTTTTCCCATATTGATGAAAGCTGTTTAGATTGACTTTTTCTTATTTATTTGTTTATTTATTTATTTAATTTTTAATAGTTGTATCCTTTTAAAGGCATGGTCTCAGTCAAAATGAAAGAAAAAAAAGAGGAGTATATCTTCTTTGGGACCTAAATTATTTGATGTTGCTAAGGTCACCACCACTACATGCAATGGGAAATTAATGAAGAAGATAAAAATGAGCACATTTCTATAAAAACATCCACAGTAATAAAGGCCAGCATAAAGAAAAAAATAAGACAAAATAAAATATCAAGCCACGATCTGTGCAATATTAGTTGACTTGCCTCTGCGGGGAGTGTGGAATATTTTCTGTGGCTTTGGGTTCCAAGCGTGCTTTCTGCAGCCTCCTCCAGTTGTGCCCTGCAGCTGGTGTGAAGGTGGGGCAGTGATGCCCACTGCAGTCCCTGGGTTGGCAGGTGGAGATGAGCTCCCCTACTCTTGGGCGTGATGGTCGTTGATGCTTAAATGCTTGGCAACTGGAGGTGGACTTTCATTTTTTAAGAGTTAGGATACCTTTTTCTTGTAGTTTGTGAAAGGACTCAGGAACCCAAATTGCAGCCCCTACTATAGAAGCATTTTATGAGGGTGAGCTGGTCTGTTAGGTAAAAAAAAAAAAAATCAATGAATATACATTCACTTTTCTTTGGTTAGTTGTATTTATGTCCTTGTTTGGGACTTGGGTTGCATGTTTTTTTTATAAACTCTCCTGTTCCGTGGAAATAACAACACTGAGGTAAAATTACAAACTGGTACCTCTTTGTAGAACACAGAGAGAATGCTCTGGGCCAGTTCCTTCGAGTAAAATAATGGAAAGGCCATCATTTATCTTTGGTTTATTCTATATTTAGTCTATGAAGTCTGCTTATTAAGACAGTCAATTGTATAATGTCTTAAATTTAAGTTGAATTATTATATAAATTTATATTTCCTTTGGTGTCCCTGATTAGGTGATTATTATCCCAACTAAGAGAGTGTTCCCTACTAATAGACTTGAGGGGGAGGAGAATAATCCATGGAACCACTCGATATTGGGAGAAATAGAGGACTATGGCAGTGACTGTAGACTAGAGTGGAGCCATTCAGAGGAACAAGCAAGCTAACCTTTGGCATATAGTCCATTTGCATTTCAATATCTGGAAAAAGAAGCACTCTTCAGCTATTAATATACCTTCTATTCCTCTTTTTGATAGAGACCTCGATTCCTCTGCATTACCCATCCGATTTATGGTAATTTAATGTTCCCCTGAATGAAGTTTGTTAATATTTATGGTGAGGCACTAGAAGACATCATTGTCTGATACAATACCATGTTATCTAGACACCTGGAACCCTCCCACCCCTCCAAAGCATGTCTGTCTGTTTTTATCATTGATTCTTTTCCTTGGCTTAAATAGTTATAACCAAAACCAAGATGAAAAACTTCAAAAACATTGAACTGCTTAGGAACTCTGGTTCTCCTTGATTTGTCTTTGAAGTGTCTTCCTAAAGGGATCTCAATCTGTCAATAGAGGGCACTTCTTTCCAGGACTTGGGCCACAGCAGCATCAGAGCAGTGTGGCACTCTGGCTGGTCGCAGCCTCGTACCACAGTGGCTGGCTCCCCCTTATGGCTTAATGTGAATATAACACTCAGTCAACCTCCCCAATAACCTTGAGGCTGTACTTCCTAAGTTCTCCCACCGGAGCCAATCACGGTTCCCTTCAGTTAATTGTCTTAAGAGCTATGGAGTTTATGCCCTGGGGTGTATCAATCTCCTCTGGAAAACTGTGAAAAAGAAAGCCAGAGGATTAGCCTGAGCTTTGGAAAGACTTCTCAGACTTTTGCTTTAGGGAAATAAGCGCTTGCCTTGCATTTAATCTTTTGGCCAATCATAATTTTATTTTTATTTATTTTTTTGCCAACAAAAGCTGGTATTGGCTTAATATAAATTTACTCATCATCTGATCTTGGTGGAATTCTAAATTACTGATTGGGGCAGAGTTTAGGCAGGGAGAAGTTATAAAATATGAAGTAGGCAACATTAACTTAAATGTAATATTAATAAAAATGGGCATTAAATATAGTCAATATATAAACAGCCAATGTAGAAAGTAATTACGCCTGCTGTATTTGCCCTGTTGTCCTTGCTATTGGGGTTGTTATGGGGGAAATGAGATAAAACACAGGCCTTGCACTCCAGGAGTTTCGCAGTGTGTGCGTGTCTGTGTGTGTTGGTAGGAGGATTCCAGTGGGAAGGAAGGGAAGGGCAAGGTCACTATACAAATGATTATAATAAGAGGATGAGAGAAAAAGCACCATAATAACAGGATTAACAAAATTTGGGATTCAGAGCAGAAATCTGCATGTCTTCATGGGGCAGGAAAAGTGTCAAGGAGAGACTTTGAAAGGGGCCCTGAGTTCTGAGGGTTCTATATCCACAGAACCTTGCCATATTTCAAAAATGGTCTCAGGCTTTTTTCATGATCCAGAAACAGAGGGAAATGGCCCAACCCCTGTTTCCAGGACCCAGAACTCGAGGCTAATGCTGAACTTAGTGGGATGCTGTGGTCTAAGTAGGATTTGAAGGGTTGATTAAAAAAACGACTCATCAACCCTGCATTTAGGACACTGTTTCCAGAGTTAAATGCTGTCTGAATTTGAAACAGTTGACTTACATACAGAATTTTGGCATATAGTCCATTTACTTAATGTGAGTACTTCGTGTTTGAATTTATGTCAACAATTAATGACTGATCTGTGCTCTTCTGAAAATGTCCCCCTCCCCCCCACCTTCAAACCTGGAAATAACAAACAAAAAACAAAATATATGATATCAATTGCTTTATATAATTTAGAGAATTTTTTATTTTGTATCTTAATACATTGAAACAATAGTAAGGCTCGCTACAACTCTTTATAAATCATAACTTTGTGATGGTGATTTTTAAATGCGCTAGTTCTATGTGGATGTTTTATTTTGCTCAAAACTTTTTAATAAATATCCAGAATTGTTAAAAAATTACTCTGCTAAAGATGAAAAAATATTTCTGCCATGATAAATTTCTTAAAATCTCATAATCTACCCTATTTTGCCAAATAGAATTTGACTCTAAATGAATTTGTTGGATATATATCAAGCTAGGTAGAATTTTTCACTTATCAAGAGTAAAATACTAAATTACTCCTTTAAAATTGACAGTAAGCTTCCTTGGTGTTTGTAGGAGCATTTATATTGGGGGAATACTACAGTTTCAGTGCTGGAATACCGATGTATTAGATTACCAAATATCATTATCTTGAATTATATCTAAGTTATCCTTGGTGGAGGTTTTTCTGTGTCCCCAGAGAAAAAACTAAGTCTAGTACAATTAGGAATTAGACAGTGGATCCCATGTTATCAGCTGGAGATGATCAATATCTTTTTCCATGTGCAGTTCACGTGGAGCTTTAAGATTGTTGGCTGTACATAGATAATAAATGGTACAACTTTTTTTTAACATTACCACCAACCAACCATTGAACATTTCTAGGCTTTAGATTTCTTAGTTCAAAATTCAGATACAAAATTAAAATGTCCATGGTGAGGAAATAATCCTGTGTATTTTCCCCTTACTGGTTCCCTCCCAGGTAACACCAAACATTGTGCCAATTATGACAATGTGACAAAGGCAAGGAAACAATTATCCACATTTTGAGGGTTTATGGATTTATACTTGATGTGTAGCCATGGAGTGGTTGAAATCAAATGCTTTTCTCCCCTTGTTTCATGCTTTTTCTTCCTTCCTCTCCTCATCTCTCCTTTCTCCAAATGTATTTTCAGAATATTCCATGTACCTGCTCTGTCTGAGCCAATTTACTGAATAGCTGATTCATGAATTGACCAATTTTTGATCCATTGTTTCTTTTACCCATCTAGTTTTAGCTGACTGGCTTTAGTTTATCTTTATATGAAAGAATTCCTTTGTTTTAAGAAATATTCTAATTTGTCTCAGTTTCAGGTTCCTCCCTTTGGAATTGGAGACTGAGTAGCAGAGAGCAGGGAGACTGGGAAATAAAGAAGAGTCATAAGAACTGAATCTTTTTGAACATACAGAATTCTTTTGAATGTATTGAACATTACATTCTATTCTTATACATGAGAAGAATACATTTGTAAGAATTCCCCAAAGTCAAGAATACATTCAAGCATGTGTACAAATTTCAGTATCAGAGAGACACTAACTACTGTAACAAATTTCAGTGGCTCCACATTTTAGAACTTTATCCCTTGCTCGTGTAAAATTCCAGGAGCAGTTTTTCTAGGTGAGGTCGCTTTCCTTCACATCATGAATCAGGGATGCAGGCATCTTCTATACCATAGCTCTGCCGTTTCCTACGCCTTTTGCATTCAGTCAGCTGAAGGAGGAGGAGAGCAAGAAGAAGACATATCAGCTTCTTACAAGCCCTG